AGGTCGCCAATGGGCTTGACCAGGTCTGGGCGTGCCAAACGGCCGAGCCATAAGGCTTTCATCAACACGCGGCAAGCGGCGAAGCCGAGCTCACCCTCCAAGGCGTCATCTGCAGGATCAAGGGATCCAGCGGGACAGAATGGAGTGGTGGCATCACGCAACTTTTCACTTTTTAGCTGTGCAACCTCAAGATATAATGCCACCGTTTGACGGGCATAATCCCGCATGTCGAACGCCATGCCCCCTTTCAATCTGCCCATTGCGGCATTAAGATCGGGTTCAGTTGGGTCCTTTGGAGCATCTATCAAAAGGTGGTTCCTGCCTAGCACCCGATATATGTCTTCTGGGGGTTCTATATCAACCAGTCTTGTTAACTTTTCCCAGAAGTCTTTATGAAGGTGGCTGGGGCCGGCCAACGTCAAGTCGTCGACGTATGTCGAGAGAAGTAACCCGGACTCCTTGAACCAGAAGTTTCCAGGAAACTCTGCGACCTCACGCCCTCCAAGTTCACTAATGAACCCTTTGAGGTGTGCCTCCCAGAGTCCGCCAGCGTCAGGATGCCCATAAAGAGCTTTAACGAGCAAAACCACAGGTTTCACGAAACGCTCGCGCCACCACCTTGGCCGGAGCTCAGGCGGGAGTGTGATCCAAGTTTGGTACTTGGACTTCAGCAGGGCTTGCACATAAGCCTTTATAGCGTCCGCTGTTGTGGTGGAATTCCCTGGCAGGGATCCATAAGCGAGACAGTTATTAAGACCTTGTACGCTCGTGGGATTTGCTCCCAACTCTTGGTAGACAGCTGCTGCGCCATGTTCGTCTTTCGCACAGTCTCCGCGATACACAATCCTACCTTTCATCTTCTGAAGGTGTTTCGCGAGTTCGGCGAACTTGACGGATGCTAGCGACATCAACTGCCCGAAATGAACTTTTATACTGGATCGTCGCGCCTCAGCAGCGACTTGATCATACTCTCGGACTGAATTTAGATCCCAAGCACCGGCTTTCTCCAGGCCTGTGGCTTCAAGTCGAACGGCTTCAAGGGCTTCCGGGGAAGCCAACATTTCGGCACGTGACAAGAGTCTAGTCACCATTGCGGTGATCTCAGGATCCTTCTTTTCTTTGACTTGTCCTAGGGAATGTGCGATGAGATTTTCAACATCAAGAACTTGCTCAAGGATGTTGTGACACTTTTCATCGGACTCAACAGCAACACCTATATCTTCCAAACCAGAGAGAGGGGATATGTGTTTCAACTGTTGTTCACGTTCCCGGTGATCGAGAGGCAATGGCACTTGGACAGGCATCGCAGCCACAACGGGTTGAACTGTCGGATACAGCGCACGGGCAACTGTGAGACACATGCCTTCGGGGTAGAAAGCGGTCTTTGCGGTCTTGTTACCTGCTGCAAGCGAATGCTTATACCCTTTTTCGTGCGGACACTTGAATGCACCTAGTGCGGATGCGAGTGTGCTATTGCTGGTCATGACTTTCCATGGCTTCTTGATGGGATAGCCATTGCTGTCTTTCAGACCTAGGGCGCAACCGTGGAAGGTCGCTGGGGTGAAGACGTGTGCGTATTCCCTAAAGAATGCAGAAACATCATCCCTAGCCCAGCTGTCGCAATCCCTTGGCCATTCAAACGAAACACTACCCCCCTGATGGAGGACAGTCTCTGCGTGACGTCTGAATCTGGAGAACAACTCTCTCGACTCTCTAACCTTTTGCTTCAGTTTCTTTTTGAACTGGCTTCCTAACTTGGCCTTATTAAGGCGTTGCCATGCTGAACCTGATGTGCAGGGAATTGCCGCCCAGAGATTGGGTTTATCACAACCTTCAATCTGCGACTGCAACTGGATCTCTCCTTCATCTGTGCTAAGGTCGATAAACTCTTTAGCCAGCCTAACATGAGGTATGCCAAGACCTTCAAACACGCGACCCATGTTGGACTCTGGTGAAAATGCGTATTCGAACATCACAGGCAACTTGTCAATACGTGCCTGTCTCTTGCGGGCACGATGATTTCCAACCTCAAACTGCTTGCGCTGCGGAGCTTCAACCTCTGCACTGCACGGCATGCCAAAAATTGGCAATGTATTCGGACGACCGTTCTTTGATGCTTCGGTGAGAGGTGTCGGCGGTACGGAGTCTAACATCACGGCTGCACCTGTGGTGATAACGCAATCGGACTGAATGGGTTTTAACTTGAACACTGTGAACCCGGTCCATGCATCTCCAAGTGAGCGATTGGGTCGGCTACCAAACCAACCATCGTGGATGTTGTCTGCTTCGCCCCCCTGAAACACGGCACGAGTGGTGCGAGCTGCAGTAAATCTTTCTGGGGAAACGGGGCAATCCTCGACCTCTTTCGGGGTAAAGAGATTTTGCCTTGGCATGATATGGTATCGAACCAAACAGTTGGCATTTTCTTTGAACACCCAAAAATCTTCACCTTGCGATGTAGCGGCTGTCGCTGGCGCGGTATCGAAAAATGAGCCACCGGGTCTTGAGGGAGCGGGCTCCCCAGCTTCGGCTGCATCAAATTCATGCGCAACATCTTCTGCACTAACTGCGGTCTTAGGATCCTTTCCATGCTCGGATGCGTGGATTGCTCTAGCTAGCTCCTCATCCCCTTCGGTATGAACAATGGGAATGGGTTCCTTAGATTCAGTTTTGGCAGCGCTTTTTGCAGCTGCTTCAGCTCGATCTGCAGAAACAAGTTCGGAGAACCTCTTCTTGCATTCGGCACTGTGAATCTTGGAATCGGAAAGCTTGGGGGTCCGTCTTCAACGAAAAATTCCGGTTCAGGAACATCGTGAACGGAAATGGAACCATCTTTACGGAAGGCTTCATAGTCCATGACTTTGACCACGTTACGGTACCGCAACCCCGGATCGACCCTCCAACCCAAAAGAGCGCAGGCGCCATGTTCGGATCGAGAGTGAGCTTGCCAGGAGTCTTGGTTCTGTACCAAACCAATTGCCCGAAACAGCATCTCTTACCTTGGAACTTTTCCTTGGTGAGGGCTTCCCATTGGGTTTTCCCTGGGCTGAATGGTGCAGGCCTGTCGAACGACATGGAGAGACATGCAAATGGGTAACTAAACGTATGCAACGAATAGGGCAACCCTGATTGCAAGTGGATGCTGCGACAGCATTCCTTCTCTTCGCGAATGTCGCGCTCCAGAACGGTGTTGTGTGGCCACCTGTTCGGTAAGCTAGTCTCGGGGACGAGACCGACTTCGTGGGCCGCTCCTTCAAGCTCTCCTGCTGCATCCATTTTTACTAGACATGTTGGCGGTGAATCAGTGGCCCGAAGGCCCATGAACTGACGGAAGTTTTTGACATGCGCTTGCGTGTCCCGCCTACTCACAGGGTAGGCAAGCGAACGCCTGAGAAAACATCACGTACTACATGGTGAGATTTGATTCCTCCGAAACCTACTCCGAGATGTTCATCGCCCATGGCAAGAATCACGGAATCGGTAGCCAACTGCTGAAATGGTGCGGTTGGGACATCGACTTTGTCGTCTGATCTAGCATCCTTTTTGTGCGCTACCCTTGCAGAAGTGGTCTTTGATATTGAACACACCTTGCAAAACGGGTTCTTAGGGAAATGGGACCTCATGTGCTCAGGAGATTTTGCTTGCTCCTTCAACGCAGTATCATGTGTCGGGTCACCATCCCCGAAGGCGATCAACGGAAGTTCGACCTCGGGAGGAGGGGCTTCCTCGGCCGCTCGCATGTTCACAGGAACCTGATCTATCTCACCTTCATCTGACGCTTGGCACGAGTCATCGCACAGAGAAACGACATCGTCTTCGGCCGCGCTCATAGCAGCGGCTTCAATCGGCCAGAGGTGAGTTGACGACTCTGCCAACTTGGGTTTTACCACCTCATCATATTGGGGAACGTATTCCACTACCCTAGATGCATTAATGCGCGCATTGCGGGGCACGTTAATCTTACATCTACTGATGTCCTTTGGGGGAACAAGGTATGGAACGTTTTCACGTGGATCCCAAATGAAAGGTGTCCTTGATCCATTACGGTCTTACCGATGGATTGCGCTGGTGGGCAATCACGGAGGACGTACACCTGCTCTTCAGCAGGTATCACTCGGCTGTCCTCGAACCCTAATGAAGTAGTGCCTTGTTGGGCACCACCCCCAGTCGCAAAACCTACGGGTGTGCTGCTCTCGCGCACGCACTTGATCATGTTGCTATTCAAAGCTTGACGTCCGATCAAGTGTCTCCCTGCGGCAGTATCCCAAAGCCAACTAATGCGATTGTCATCGGAGGCGACGCTTGCCATTGCCGGAATGAGCTGTGCAACAGCTGCACTCGCCTTTGGCGGCGGCGGGGACAACAAACTTTTGGGCTTGGGACCAGTGTACTTGTTGGAATCACTGTGGAGAAATGCTCACTGCTTGGCCTTGCACGAATTATAGGCATAAAACATGCACGGCATCTTGGCTTTCTCCGCCGCGGTCATACCTAGAGATCCGAAAGGCCTATCACGCAGGCCTTATGCGAAAAGGCTTACCATGTCGCACGGTGCGCGATAAGCCGTGCACGAGAGCTCACGAAGATAGGTTCGTGTGAAAACGCACTTGCCTGGCTTTGGAGGGTATATACGACATATATTGGAGCATGGGATTCGGGCCGCGCGACATGGGTCGGGGGTTGGGGGGACGAGCGAGCTGACTGCCTAAGTTGACACGCGGGGGCTGAAGCAAAAAATATGTGTATATATATATATATATATGTGTATACTAACGCAGTGCGCCGAGCGGGGGGGGTCGGTGGATTTTTTTTTACAATCCCACGTGTGGGGCCAAAGAGTTGCGTGAAGGCATGCCTGCAATTTCGGCGGCCCATCTAGGCTCTATGGCTTGGTGTTAAGCGTTAAGTTGCGGCGCGTGAGCCGCATGGCATGAACCGTCACGAACCTACAGAAAGTCTATGATTCCGTTTGTGCATTTTGGTTTTCAACCGCGCTGCGCATGCTGCGCCTGGCGGTGGCTCGTGGCAGGCACGGCGCCACCGCAAAGCATGCCGCCAATAAATTTGCTTGAGCCAAATGCAGAAGTTATTAACTGTGCAGTTTCACGGGGTCTCGAAGCTGGGGTTCTTGCGCCATGCTTGCTGACATCAGCGCGCCTGCCACCGCGCAGCTGTTTGGTTTGAGGCGAGGGCGCTCAGCAATGGTCCGCGGAGTTGTGCCTGTGAAAAAGCCTAAGGGCGAAGTGGTGAAGAAACCAAAGCTCAGCAAGAACAAGAAGAAGAAAACGGGCAAACTCAAGACGCTGCCCGTTCCGACCACTGGCCTTCACCCGCGGTTCTCTTTAATGCTACTTCGATGACACCCCCCCAACCCCCCCCTTTTAGTGAACCAGAATTGATGGACATTTTTGAACCATCCATCAACGTCACCGAATTCCCACCGCATTTTTTTCAGCCAACTGGGTCTGATTTGCTGAGGGCGCCACCTTTAAGGGAAACCACGAGGAAAACCATCGTTTTAGGGGGTCCGAAAAAAAGAGAGAGAGATATATATATATATATAGATATATATATATATATATCTATATCCCAAACCCGTTTTCCAAATACTTCAAATGCCCCAGGCTCCACCTGCTCCACATGGCCGGCTTCCCAACTGCCCTGCTGGCTCTGTGTCAATGCGTTTTCAGCGGCATGACGAAGCCAACGGTTGCGCCCTGTTGGCAACACCAAGCGCACGACGCGCATCCAATGGTGAGGGTTTTTTTTAAACAAACCTGGTTTATGTGGACTCTTTTGGGTGGACTTGGAACGCCTGCAAACTGAAAATTGTCCAAGGACATCTTTTGCGTGGAGCTCTTTGCCGGAATCAAGACGGTTTGCGGCGGTTTCAAAGGGTGTGGCTACGACGCCACATCTTTTGAAGTGGCGGATTCCCCTTTTGAGAACATGTTGTCCGGCCTTGGATGCGCGTTTGCATGGGCCTTGGTGGCCCGTCTATACCATACTGTGGCTCGGCAAAACTTTGCTGGCGCGAGCTTGTGCGCCTTGCAAGTGAAACTTTCAATCTCACGCCGTGTTGCATCCTGCCTTCTGAGTCGGGACTGGCATGGTTTGCGCCAGTATGTTCATCGTGGGTCTGGGTAAACAGGCCGGATCAAAGGGGCACTTTGTTCTCAATATTTCCAATTCTTTGGGGTTCTGCCTGCGATCTGAAACCTGCCAGATCGACAAGCCAACGGTCTCGAGACTGTGCACTTGGTAACCGCGGCTCTGCCACGGTGAGAGCAGCGACTCTCGGCTGCAGGCTCAGACGTGGTCATCTCCTGCATGGGCGGTTTGTTTGGAGTCACAAAATGTTGATGGCCCGGATCTCGGGGCCATTTGTGGCGGACTGCAACCCTTTCTTTGGAACCCTTAGCTTCCCCAGACCAATGTGAACTTCATGACAGCCGCTAAGTGGGTCAAAAGTTGGGTGGGCAATTGGTGGCATGGTGGATGTGATCCTAGCTGCGCACGCGAAAACTTTGGCGGCCCTTGGCCGCAAAATGGCAACGATGGTTCCTGAAGGCGTCAAGGACCACGCAATCAACGTGGACCCGCCGGGCGAGCTTCTGCCGGGCCAGTGGCTGAATTCCAGCAACGTATTGCCAGCCAAAACGTTGCAACTTGCCGGCATGTTGATGCTCATCTGTGTCTAAGAAACGTTGTTTTGAAGGTACCGTCTCAGCTCATCCCTTCCAGCAAATGAGGCTTGACAATCGGTGGGTGCTCAAAGCCATCCTCTCGTTGGAGGTGTTCCGGCAGCGCAAGCCCTCGAAAGCAGAGCTAGAGATCACTTTGAAGGTCTTCAACAACGAGCACAAAGCCGCCAGCCAGCATTGCCATCAAACGGTGGGAAAACAAATCCAATCTCGCCCGACAAACTTTCTGAGATTAGTTTCCTAAATTCCTAAATGATACAAAAACCACGACAAACGCAAAAACACTCCACACGCCAGTCCTCACGCGCCCAGGGCTTGGCTCTCCGCGGCCACGGGGAGATCGAGTCTTGGCGCGACAGTGCGGGGAAGGGCAGGTTCTAGTTTCGGGGGAAAGCTGAACACTCAAAGTGGGAGGGGAGAATTCATATGCTTCGCACTTAGGATTCCAAGTTGGCCATGGCGATGGCCATTACTAAGATTCAGAAGCTGTGGAGCAGCCTTCGCCGCAAGTGGAGTAACTCCCCAAAATCGTCAAGGAACAAACAGCTGCAAGGCTTGAAAGATCTTATGGTGTCTCCCGTGTCACCCATTCCAGATGAGGCGGAAACCCAGCCTCTGGGGCATGAAAGCGACGAGACCGTCTCTGATTGTGGCCCAACGCCTTCCGAACCGCCTAGTCTTCTTATCCCTGTAGAGCCAGAAGAGAGCATGCCCCATCATGATGATGAGCCTGTTGAGGACAGCCTCGAACGTGATGTTACTCTTTTGGCCAACGAGACAAACTTTTTCGAGGACACCATCTCCGATGATGAGGGGTCCGACATTTGGGGAAATGTTCTTGAAGAGCTGCAGGCCGATTTGGAATCCAACTCTTCAAGCTCTGATATTTGGAAGGCGTGCGCAGGGCTTGGGGCTGATGATGAGGTTGAGCCCGAGCACGGGCAAGGCGCATTGGTTTCAGTGCCTGTCAGGCCAGAAGGGTTCGATGCCGCGGCTACGGCCTTGTGGGCTGACCCTCCTTCCCCCGTCGATGTCAGCTTTGCCAAACACAAGAAGTCCAAGCGCGACAAGAAAAACAAACAGGCGGTCAAGGGCTCCAAGGGCGGACCCAAGAGCAAACAACTCAAAAAAAACAAGCTGGGCCTGATGCGGAAAGCCTCCAACCACAAGGGCAACAAGAAGAAGGGATCCCCTGTCACCAAGGGCAAGCGCAAAGATGTTTCTCCCGATTTTGCGCCCATTCTGGAGTCTTTCGAGGAGGGCTACCGAAGCATTGTATTGGAATTGCCAACGGAGCTTTTGCCAGTGTCAACAACCCATGGAAAGCACTCCTACACAGTGTTCCCCGGCCTTGATCCTTATATTTGTTTTTCCCTTTGTAGGTTTTGGGCAAACAAACCTTTTCCTTGATCTATTTCCCTGATCCCTTTCCTGGCAAACTTGAGGCAAGTGGGCCACCGCGCCAAGCTGGAAATCCTGCTGCGGCAGAAGGCCTTCAAGCCTCGAGTCCGGAGCGACGGCATCAAGGTGACGGGGGAGGCTACTCGCTCGTCCGGCCCCAAGCAGTGTCAGCGACATGTTTCCGCCAACGCAAGAATTGCTACTGAAGTGGCTCTTTGAGTGCGACCTAGACTGATGGCGTCTCAGGATCTCGTTTGCTGGCGGGCCTGATTCTGTCAAGAAAGCGTGGGGCATTATTCAGACCACTCTCGGCATGAGCAACGAGGATCACTGAAGGGCTGGGTTGGAAGCGCGCGGCTGCAAGTCTTTAAACACACTCAGAATGCGTTATTCGGCCACCTGTAAATTTGACTTGCAGCAGTGCCTCCATTATGGATCGTAGTTAGATATGGAGACTGCCTGCCATGGGCTGATTCTAGAGTGTCGATTTGAAACATGTCACAGTCTGCGCCTCAAACCGGCAAGCTTCACAGACTTGATCCTGTGAACCGTGGCTGGCAGTCTTTTTACTTGGGGTATTTAGGGGGCGGCCTCCCTCGCAGCAACTGTGACAACACAGCTGTGAACCTGGCAGCGAAAAAAGCAATCGTCAGAAACAAAACATGTCGTTTTGTCCTTTGCCCCTTACATGCGGAAAAGCCATTGCGTATCTAAGGAACACCATGGTTGCGAGATGCTGTGGTATGATTTTGATGTGCAGCTTGCTGCGCATCCCTTGGATGCTGGAGCAACCTTCGTCCTCGTTGCTCGAGTACCACCCGTTGTTCAAGTGGATAGCTCGTGTGACCGATGTCTTTCGAGCGCCTTGTCAAGAGTACACAACGCAAAACTGGGCCAAAGTAAAACTTTTTACTGTCGCGTCTTGCTTCGTCTTGCTTAGCTGTGGTTTTCATGGTCGGCGCAGCCAAGGTCTTTGTTTGGGTTGGAGCTTTTGGCGGCGAGAGCGCCTGGCCTGCAACACGCCGCAGCCAGTTGTGTCTGCAGCAGAAAAACGGTTTGCGACCTCAGCGCGGGCGCGGCGTCCCAGGCCCAAAACCCACCTACGTGTACTCCAACTACCGCATGATCTCTGCCCTGTACTTGCCCCTCCCTTCCAATCACAAGTGGACTGCGGAGATGAGTGTGAAGCAACTTGGCATGGACGCATCACGCGCTAAAGGGTGTTTGACTTGACTTCTGCAACTATAGGTATGAGGATTCCTGCGGGATTCGACGGGTCGCAGGAGGAGCAGACTTAAAGAAAAGTCAGCACTATCCAAAACTCTTCGGAGCTTCGGTGGCCCAGCTGTGGGTTGCCAACAAGGACCGTTTCCCCCGATGGATCAGTATTTTCTCAACATGCCCGAAGTCTGTTCATGCGCCCTTAGGACATGATCCAGAAGGAGGTGCGCGAAAAACAGCGACTTGTATAAATACCTGACTTCGCAAAAAACCTTTGTATCTTGCGCGTGTCTGAGCGTTGGGCATTGCTCGTTGGCCTGAGGAAGGAGCTCTTAAGCCTCAAGGAGCCACGACGTCCGCTGAAGGCAGCTTGGTGGTAACCGCATTTCATTTTGGGCTCTCCAACAAAAAACAACCCTCCCGAAGCAAATTTTTCTGGTGGGTCATGGGGGGCACCCTCCAGAGCTTTTGAAGATTCCCTCCCCCAAACCTTTCAAAAAAAATCCTGAACCTTTGAAGATGGTGGGTCCCCCAAACTTTTGGGTACTTCCCCCAACCCCTTTTCAAGATGGTGGGCATCTCCCCCACACTTCCCCAAACTGTTTGTACCCAAAATTGTGGAATGCCCCCCCAAAACAATGGAATAGTGCTGGGGGGTGGCGGCTCAAAACAGCACCTATCTTTAGGTGCCAGTTGGGAAGGCTTCTCAGAGGAGGTGTTGGCGGTGTACGGCTGTTTTGCCGTCTCTCAAACGGCACCTATCTTTAGGTGCCGTTTGGGAAGGCTTGTCAAAAAAGGTGTTGCTGGCGATGCTGAGGGTGTTGCTGGTGATGCTGGTGTGTACGGCTGTTTCGCGGTCTCTCAAACGGCACCTATCTTTAGGTGCCGTTTGGGTGTTGCTGGTGATGCTGAGGGCGTTGCTGGTGATGCTGGTGGTGTGTGGCTGTTTCGCGGTCTCTCAAACGGCACCTATCTTTAGGTGCCGTTTGGGAAGGCTTGTCAAAGCAGGTGTTGCTGGCAATGCTGAGGGTGTTGCTGGTGATGTTGGTGGTGTATGGGAGGTGTTTCTGGCGATGCTGAGGGTGATGCTGGTGATGCTGGTGGTGTATGGGAGGTGATGCTGAGTGATGCTGGTGAAGCTGGTGGTGTAGGGTCTCTCAAAACGGCACCTATCTTTAGGTGCCGTTTGGGAAGGCTTGTCAAAGAGTTGCCGGCGATGCTTGTTGCTGGTGATGGCTGTTTGCTTAGGTGCCGTTTGGGAAGACTTCTCGAAGGAGGTGTTGCTGGCGATGCTGGGTGTTGCGGGGTGTGTGGCTGTTTCGCGGCCTTTCAAAAACGACACCCTTGCTGTAGGAGCTGGGAAGAGCAGGTGTTGCTGGTGATGCTGTTTGCGCGTTGCTGGCGATGGGGGTGCGCAGCTTCTCAAAACGGCGCACGCGTGTGTTTAGGTGCCTTTTTGGGCAGGCTTCTGCAATGCGGTGTTGCTGGTGTTGCTGGGGTGCTGGGGGTCATGCTGAGCTCTCCCAAAGCTTTTCTTGATGGTGACGATGGGTGGCTTCCAAAGTATTTTCACTGCCAAGCAAGCACTTTTGATTTTGAAGCCCTTGAATTTAGAATGTTGGAGGGCACCCCCGAATCTGTTAATCCCTCAACCCCCAAAAACAGACAAGCAAGTTGGGGCGAAGCTTGCCGCCCACTGATTCACGGGTTCACGGGTTCAGAGACTTGTGGGTTTAGATTCACGGATTCACGGGTTCAGAGATTCGTGGGCTTAGATTCACGGAGAGATGCGTGGAATTAGATTCACGGATTCACGGGTTCAGAGATTCGTGGGTTTAGATTCACGGATTCACGGGTTCAGAGATTCGCGGGCTTAGATTCAAGGATTCACGGGTTCAGTATGGTTTAGATTCACGGATTCACGGGTTCAGAGATTCGTGGGCTTAGATTCACGGACTCACGGGGAACTCACTTTTATGGGTGGATTCACGGGTTTCTTGCGACAGTCACGGATTCACGAGAGCCCTGCGGCCACCGCGCTGCAGGATATGCATTGGGACCGCCACATGGACCTGCGCCAGATCCACGCGGCCCTCAACTAGTTTTGATGAGGCTTCCTCCATATCAAAGACATGGTGCCCTAAACTGCTCAACGCATATGATTTCAAGGGTTGCCTGAGGGATTTCCAAGATGACCCAACAGGATGATGGATGCGCTTTCCCGAAACCAAAGCAGTTCAACAATGTAAGCAACAACCTCCGAGCGGGGCTTGTGGAGAGGGCGCCCGTACTAGTTTAGGGGTGGAGCACACACTTCTGCAGCAAATTCATCCAAATTGGTCGTTGGGAGCCGCCCCGTGAAACCGTGAAAAAACCGTGATTCACCCGTGAAAAACCGTGAATTAGTCATGGTTTTTTTAGGTGGCAGTTTGTGTTGTTTCTGAGCATTAAGGTGGGCTCCCAAAGCCGTGTTAGCGGCTTCCCGCTAGCAGCTTGCAGGAGGGCCGCCGCAAAAATACAACACTCTGACAACACATGTCAGCGCATTGATGGGCACGGTGCATGGTTGGCCCAGATGTGACACCTGACTAGTCTTGACTCAAGCTGAGGATTAGGTGGTGTGCCATGGAGAAGCCGGCCGTGCGTGTGCGGTCAAAGGGCCCATGCCGGCCCAAGAGCCCTGACCCCAAAAAACTCCGCCAGGCGGCGGTGGAAGATGATCCCAAAGCGCCAAAGCGAAAGGTGTCTTTTGGATCCCCTTCGGTCCACAAAATTGATGCTGAAAACCCACCATCCAAGAGTCGTTCTTCCCACAAAGACATGGGTGAAGATGAAGCTGAAAGCATCTTTCAAGGCTTGAAGGAGCCCACGCGTGTCAACTTTGCAATGCTGGTCACACCCTTGTTAATTCTTGAAGCTATGCTCTTTGCAGGAGGCATCCCGATCTGCCGCAACTGCCTCCGAGAGCGAGGGTCAGGCCCAAGCCAAATGGGGTCAAGGGTCCGCGGAGCAGCCAACAAAAACCCTCTCTCCAAGTTCTCTTTAAGATTCTGTTTTTTGGTGTCCAACCACTAGTTCAGGTCTCAGGTCTCCTGTCTTCTTGGTTTATCTCTACTTTGCTGGCAGGATGGGCCAGACACAAGTGAGCCCGAAGAAGAAGAAGAACAACAAGTGAAGCCAAGAGGCATTTTGAGGAAGCCAGCCAAAGTGGAGAAGGGTAAAGCCGACCCTATGCCCGCAAAGAAGGCGCAGCGCATGGCCGAGCCTGACCTTGCTGCTCGGAAAGCCTGGTGGGCGCGGTTTGTGTCGCACCGTCGCTTTGAGAAAGTCAACCCTGGAATCAAACCGCGCCCCAGGAAGCGGAGGTCAAACCCTCAACATGACAAACATAGGATGAAACAATGGTGGAGAGGTTTTGTCAGCCAGGTCGCTGCCAAGATCGTCGATGATGGCAAGACTGGAGAGATGGAAAAAACAACACACAGCGACAGCAAAAAAAAGACGGCGGCAGTCAAGCAGGCAGAAGCAGCAGCAGCATCAGCAAAAGCAAACGAGGAGGCGACACAGCCGGATGATGACACAGGGGAGGAGACTGAGGATGGTGAGGACGCTGAGCAGGAGCATGAGGGTGAGGATGAGCAAGAGCAAGAAGAAGAAGAAACAGAAGGCTGGTCGGACGAGGAGGCGGGCGAGCAGGACGCAGCGCTAGTTGCGAGCGAGACACTTGAAGAGGATGAGGCGAGCAAGGACACCGACGATGAGACGCAGACTGACATGAGCGAGCAAGAAGAGGAACCGGCGGGAAGCAAGAAGGGCAAGAAGGAGAAGAAAGACAAGAAGGAGAAGAAAGACAAGAAGGATAAGGATAGAAAGGACAAGAAGGATAAGAAGGACAAGACAAACAAGAAGGATAAGAAGGACAAGCAGGACAAGCAGGACAAGAAGGACAAGACAGAGAAAAAATGCAAAAGTGAGAAACAAGACAAAAAGGGCCTAGGCGAGAATGAGGAAACCACGGGACAGCAAAAGAAACAAGAATCGCCAGAAGAGGTGTCAGTGCAAGAGAAAAAGAAGAGAAAGGTAGACATGCGCGGAGAGGCAACCAAGGCAGAGAAGGATCAGCCGCAGCTGACAACAGCAAACGCAGAAGAAGCGGCAAGCGACGACGACGACGATGAGAAGAAGAGTAAGAAGAAGAAGGCGAAGAAGGAGAAGAAGGACGCAGCTAAGCGTAGCGTCACAGATGAGATGAACAATGCGAAGGAAACTCCAACAACCAAGAAGAGCACGAAGGACGGCAGCAGAAGCAGAGGCACCAGCGAAGGAGCAAAGGCAGCAGCGGAGGGGAGCCCAATGACAAAGGAAGGAAGCAATACCAGGCAGGAGTCAAAGAGCAAGAAGGGCAAAGCTGAAAAAACGAAGGCGTCAAAGCATGAAGGAGACAGCAAGCAGCCAGACAAGAAGGGTGACACAACAGAGGAGCGCCTGAAGCAGCCAGCAAAATCTGCTAAGGTCGCAGCGGTGAAGGCAACAAGCAAAGCAGAAGCGACTGAGGAGGATGACAAGTCAGATGAGGGCGTGGGCAGCGCGTCTGAGAGCGACAGTAGCAGCAGCAGCAGCGGCGGCGGCGACAACAACGAAACCAGCAGCGAAGACACTGAGGACACAGCAGCAAAGAAGAAGAAGACAAAGAAGAGCAAAAACGAAAAGGTTCTGGCAGAACCCGAGACAAAGCTATGCACATCGTCCACGCACCGCAAAGAATGGGCGGCCTTCCGACGCCTCACTAAGAACCAGAAAAGAATGCCCAGCAAACTGGTGGCAGAAGCGCAAACGCAGGTTGGGCCGGCCTGCTTCTAGAACATTAGGCCCCCTCGCCGTGGCCGCCCCCGTTTGTTTGTGTTGTTTTTTTGGGCGGGAACCTCAGCCCTCATTGCCAGGATGGCCGAACCCGCTTGTTCCAGGACTTTGTCGCCTGCGGTGGCGACGTCGCCCAAGTTGAGATGCGGTTTACGCAACGGCTTGAGGAAAGCCAGAAAACAAAGTTAAAGTACGGGTTCCGCAACCAGCAATGGTTGATCAACAATCACGGGCAAAAGCGAGCAGACAAGATCATGAAAAGGAAACGCGATCTTGGGTTGAGCCTTGATACACCTAGTAGCCCGACTATTTTGATCAGTGGCGAACACAAGCAGCAACACGAAACCCTTGTGACATCTAAGGACCATGCAAGACCCTGAGTTTCCCGGAGACCCGGAT